CTGAGGTGGGTTTGGGGCTGTCTGTTGTGTATCAAACCTGTCGCTGTCTCTCAGGTGGACCCAGCCTTTGCCTACGCCTACACCTTGTTGGGTCATGAGTTTGTTCTGACGGAGGAGTTGGACAGAGCACTCGCCTGTTTCCGCAACGCCATCAGAGTTAACAACAGACACTACAACGCCTGGTACGATATGTGTTCTGCTAATCGCAGGGTTGCAGGTTTGATCTCAGACTCCTCCTGACGTTGGGTCCTTTAGCCAGACTCAGTGTGTTTGTATGTGTGTTGGTTCAGGTATGGTCTGGGGATGATTTACTACAAACAGGAGAAGTTCAACTTGGCAGAAATCCACTTTAAGAAAGCGCTGAGCATCAACCCTCAGAGCTCTGTGCTGCTCTGTCACATTGGAGTGGTATGTAGCTCGTTAACATCCGCCACCTAGCATGTAGCTTCAGTCTACTGCTAGTGAACTGTGTGTGTGTGTGTGTGTGTGTGTGCAGGTGCAGCATGCGTTGAAGAAGTCTGATGCTGCTTTAGAGACTCTGAATAGAGCAATTGTGATCGACCCCAAAAATCCGCTGTGCAAGTTCCACCGGGCCTCCATACTCTTTGCCAACGATAAGTACAAGGTAATCAATACAGATTCATACTAATGTATACATCCATACTGAGACCACATGGCTTCGGTTACCAGCACATCTGGATCCAGAGGTTTGAATACAGCTACTTTGAAGGACTTTTGGTACAACGGTACCATCGGTCTCTCTGTGACCTGTCTCTCTCTCACTTACTCTCTGCAGGCTGCTCTCCAGGAGTTGGAGGAGTTGAAACAGATAGTTCCAAAAGAGTCTCTGGTTTACTTCCTCATAGGAAAGGTAACTAGAAAATGCATTTCCTGCTGAAAATGCGTTTGAATGTAAAAAGCTGAAATTACTTTTTAAAAATAACTGAAATTACAGAAAGTTGAAGGGAATTTGAATACAGTTACGTTACAGATATTAGAAAAGCTGAAATTAATTTGAAATTGCTGAAAATACAGAAATGGGAGAAGCTGAAAGGAATTTCAATAGGTTTGCAGAAAAAGCAGAAATGAAAACAGCTGAAATTAATGTGAAATATTGCAAAAAAATACAGAAATTAATATTAAAACATTGCTGTTAATACAGGCATAAGAGCTGAAATTATTTAAAAAAAACTGCTCAAAATACAGGAAGTGGGGAAGCTGAATTTCAATAGATTTTCTAAAAAATACAGAAGTTGCAGGAGCTTAATTGAATTTTAAAAAGTACAGAATTAACAAAAGCTGAGATGACTAAAAAGAGGTTTTAAATTGTTTGTAGTAATATTAGTATTAGTTATAGTTGTAATTGTGGTATTCGTAGTACTAGCTGTAGAAGTAAGTTTAGTATCAATAGCAGTAGAAACAGCTGTAATACTAATACTATTAGCCATAGTAGTATTTGTAATAACATTAGTAGTAGTTGTAGTATGGTAGAAGTATCAGTTGTAGTACTACTAGAAGTATTAGTAATATTCTTAGTGGTTGTAGTAGTATTTGAAAGAGCAATACGTATTTCAACGAAACCGCTTCATTCTGAGCTTCATGGTTAAGGTACAGATAATCATTGATTGATCAATGTTTGTTATTCAAACTAAGACGTTTTTAATTAATAGGCCTCATCACAAACATTACAGTAAGAATTCCCTCCATGAGGCTTTTATTTTGTAATTATTGGACTGGGTGGGGTGGGGGGAGTGTAGATAGAGGGAGGGAGGGTGAGGAAGAGATAGAGAGGGAGAGGGGAGGAGAAATAGACAGACAGACTGACTGAGTGAGTGATTAACAGCGAGAAGAGGTCAGGGTGGAGGGGGGAGGGGGGGCGAGTGTCTTTATCATATTGGTCTGTTGACAGAAAGCAAAGCTGCGTCATGTGACTCCACTAATCAGGTCATAGGAGCAGCTGTGAGTCACAGACAGAGATCCTGCAGCGTGTGTGTGTGTGTGTGTGTGTGTGAGTAACCACGGCAACGACGCACCTGTGCTCATAAACGAGCTGCTGCAAAAGGCAGAGACAGGACAGCGAGTTACACAGAATCCACACCTCAAACAAATGACAACCAGCGCAAAACTATAACAGCTATCTAAAAAATACGGCGTTTTTACGAGACCCAAGTCTCTACCGAACGCATGGATGCGTTTTTTATGTCTGTCCGGTCATAAATACGGCTCCTGTCGCAGTACACAAAACGTGTACCTTCTGGATTTTTTGAAAAATATGTCGGCAGATTTGTATTGGAGCCTATGGGGCTTTTGGCAGTGGTTGTGTCACTAACACTGAGGAATCCAAAACTAAAGAACTCTGGGATTCCATGAACACATAATCCAATCAGCACAACCATGCCATCATTAATCCAAAGAAATTAAGACTCAAGAGTGTATACTTTGGCTCTGAGGACAGAAGTTCCATTTTTTAAACCAGATTCTGGCGCTGCCCCACACTCTAAGATCTCCGGGTCTCACTCTAACAGACGCAATACACACTCATGTAAAAGTCAGAAACGGAGCAAAGAACTATAATCAGTGATTATGAAAAAAGTAGAATAGATATCAACAAGCAGTTGAAGTTTTCATAAATTAGTTGAGACTTGTGTCAACATTTGAAAGTTTAAATGATGTCTGTAGCTGAAAGATTGGCGAAGCTGAAAAATCTGAAAGTTGAAGTTTAAGAGGATTTGAAAAACGATCTCCATGTTAACCACGAAAACCATGTTAAGATATTAATGATTATTGATTTATATAAATTCAAGCTTAAGAGGTAGAAAGCTGAAAAGTCATAGCAGGAAAGCCGGAAAGGAGTTGAATATTTTAATATTTGAACGGTTTTAATAGCTGAAAGTGTGAAGGAGTTGAAAGGTGCCGCGGAAGAAATAGAAGAAGAAATAAAGATTCGAAGAACAATACTTGGAATGCTTAATTCCAACAATGATCATTCTTTGACCTTTTGAGGTGAAACCTTTCCCCGGTTAACTTGTGTTCATGTCTGTCCTCCTCAGGTGTATAAGAAGCTGGGTCAAACTCACCTGGCTCTGATGAACTTCAGCTGGGCCATGGACCTGGACCCTAAAGGAGCCAACAACCAGATCAAAGAAGCCATCGACAAGAGATACCTGCCCGAGGACGAAGGTGAGACACGCACAACCATGAAAAGTGATCAGTGACAATCTGATACTCTGATAGTAGGAGTAGTGAAACAACACTGTCTTGTGTACTTAACACAGTAACAGCTCTTCTCTTCATCTTAGATGTTGTACTGGTGTTTCCTGTAATCTGTGTCACTCCCAATGGGTGTCCTCCCAGTATGGGTTCCTTCTGTTGGTGGTTACGGTGGTTTTACTAGTTGCCCTGTTTCTCTCTCTGCTTTCTCCACCTGCCTCTCGCCATCTGTCTCTCTCTACATTTCTAGCTGCTGAAGTGGACGACAGTCAGGAGAGCAGCATCATGACAGATGCTGACGATACACAGCTCCACACGGCTGAGAGTGATGACGTCCTTTAGCCCGCCCCTGCATTTATCCCACCCCCTGCTCCACCCAATCCCTGCCCTGATTGGTTACAGCAGTACTGTTGCAAGACAACATTATGGTTAGCAGCCCCTCAGTCACGCTCAGCCCTGGCTCTCCTCCCTGTCTTCTGATTGGCTGATACAGACTGCTGAAGCTCCGCCCTCCTCATACGTCGTCATGCTCCCTTTGACATCACAGCTGTTTTTTATGTTCTTTTTATCATCGCTATGGAAATAAAACAATAAAAACATGTAAACCCTGCCCCTGCCCTTGCTGTCGGTTAGTCGCTCTTCTACCAACAGCCAATCACAGCTCTCTGCACAAATTCGGCTAGGTGAGTGAATACTGATTAAACATGCTACGTCTTATTGCGGTCAGGGGAAGTTAATGTGTGACTCCAGTAGGGGGCATCTGATCATACAGAGAAGAACAGAAGATTGATCTCCCAATCAACAATCTAGTTTGGTTTGTTGTAACTTTAATGAATCAATAAATCTGCGATCAATCTTCTAAGAGAAAGTTTGTGTCTCAGAGCTCCAGTGAGACGAGCTACGGTGAGACCGACAACTTATCGTTTAATACTGCACCAATCACCTGCTGAGCGACTGATGGGTACGGGTGGGTGTCTCTTTATGTGTGTGTCGGTCAGGTGTACAGAAAGTGTCAGGCTGAAGGAATCAGGAATCATGAAACATTTATTGCCAAAATATGTCAAACATACAAGGAATTTGTCTTGGCGGTTAGATGACTGTAAATATAACTATTTATAAAAATTGTAATTCACATTTGCATTCTGCCGAGGTAGCTGAAAATAATTTCTTACAGTAAAGCACGCAGCTAAGGGCCCTGTAGATGTTACTGTGGTAACCACAGTAGCAATGGTAATACATGTAGGTTTGTGTAGAGGAAAAAACGCAGGGTATGTGTTTGATTGTTTGTGTGTCTGGGTGTATGTGATTGAAATATAAAATTAAAGGCCTTATTTATGAATAGCAGTTAAAAAAAACAGTATTTGCTCTATCCACCAGATGCTTGAATGTATCATGTTTAAAGACATATTCCATAACGTTTCCTAGTGAAGTTCGACACCCTATTATGATTGAAATCTAATCAAACACACACTGTTGTGACAATGACAGACATGCAAGTCATTGATTCAAAAACATTTATTTCCCAATTTAAAATAACCCATTAGATAAATGTAAATAAGACATAAGAAACAAGATGATAATAATAAATGAATGAAGGAGGGAGGAGGAGGAGGAGGGAGGAAAAAGAGGTAGAAGGACTAATCTAGAGGGAGGAGGAGGGGAATAATCAGAGAAGCATCAGTCGGAGACCGTTGGGATTTTTAATGTTTGGAGAAATGAACATCCAACAGTATTTCTTTATACGTCAGAGTTGAAAACATCCTATAATCAGTTGACAAATAAAGTAGCACAAAGAAACTGATCAAACTTTATTCTCCAGTGTGGGCCTGGCTAAGTACAGTCAAAAGGAGCAGCAGGTTACCATGGCAACAGCAGCCTCTCTCCCAGCATGCAACAGCAGAGCGCCCCTCCCACCCGTGCAGCAGGGTGGAACAGCAGACGGACGGTGTGCAGCCAGGAGGTAAGACAAGAACAAGTCCTCCTGTCTGTCCCTCGCCTGTCTGTCCTCATGTCTCTCTACCGCACATGTCTCCTCACTGCTCCACAGAGGCCGAAGCGGCAGACACGTGTCCCTCCGCTTTCCTCTTAGCTTTCAAGCTAATGTGGCTTCAGATTTTACTTGATTGTGTTTTTTGCTGTATCATTTTTTGTGTTATGGAGCAGGCTCACCAACTCCTCCTCTCCTCCTCCCTTGCTATCCCCTATCTTCCATTTCTTCTCCTCCCTGTGTTCTCCCCTTCTTCCTTCCTCTCCTACTCCTCCCTTCCTCCCTTCCTTTCGGTCTCTCGCCCTCTCCTTCCCTACGCCTCTTCCTCATCTACAGAAGTGATGATGGATGGACACTTGCCCCCCCTAGGAGACGGTCCCACCCTTGAAGAGCAGTGCATGATGGGGGGTAGGAATCCATTCCACATATTGATCAACTTATGTATTGAGTTATTAATATGAAACCCTCCATCCTTTTCACAGTGTCCTCTTCCTCATCGTGCCTTCCTCCCTCTCTCCTCCACTTGATCATCTCCTCCTCCTCGTCTCCTCTTCATGATCTCCTCTTCAAAGTCTCTTGCTCTTTATTGCTCACCCGATCCTCTTACTCATCATTGTCTCTTCCTCCCTGTTTCTTTCTCTTCATCAACTCCTCTTCATGGTCTCATCCTCCCCATCTCCTCGTCTTCATTGTTTCTTTTACATGGTATCCTTCTCTTCACTGTCTTCTCATTACCCTTTCCTCCTCATTATCGTCTCCCCTACATCATCTCTTCCTCACCGTCTCCTCCTCCTCTTCATCAAGGAAGCATGGAAAAGTCTTCCTCCCCCAAACCTCCTCCACATCACATATGTCCACCTCATTCCTTCTCCTTTTCTCTTTCATTTAGCATTTCGTCCCTTATTTTGATAGTGACAAAAAGTGGAAACGTCCTATGTCGTAACCTGTGTGATCTCAAGGTAGTCATGGAAACAAGTCTCCCTGACCTTTGACCTCTACTGCTGGTTGACCTGCAACTCAAACGCATTATTAAATTAATGTTAATCAGATTAATATGAAACCTTCTTTACCTTCTACTTTATATGTATCTTCTCATTCAGCTGTGAAGAAACCTGGCAAAGGAGCTGTGAAGGTAAAAACATGTTTTAATAAAAATGATGACGAAGCTTTATTTACGTAATAAAGTAGATGTTGACAAATATATACGATGTTATGTTCCCAGCTAGGGTCCGGCAACATAACAAAAACAAACACGAGGGAAAATAAGGAATGTAGCAGCCAATAGTAAAGAATATATTGTTCTTAAACATGGTGGCAGCCAAGCCAGCCACATGCTTCTTTCCCTCTCCCGATCCCCCCCCTGGATGATGTGTTTTAAAGGGGCCGGCTCTGATGGTGCACCTCAAATAGATTAAAACAAGGATAATAATAATAAAACAAAAAGGCACCAGCTAGGCAGGGGGAGAGAAGATATAAAAAGCATGAGGGAGTAAAGCCTAGTTTATGCTTCTGCGTTTTCAGAGCGACGCAGACGCAAGACCCCCTTCGTGTCCCTTCACACCTTCTTGCATGCGTGGAATCGATCTGCAACACACGCAAGACTTTTAGAACCATGAAGTGAAGGCTGGCGCATGTTTCTGCGTCTGCGTCGTTCCGTCAACGCACTCGTTTCAATTCATGGTTCTGCGTGTGTTGCAGAGCAGTTCACCTCCAGAACAACAGGCGGAGTGACGTGTTTTGTTGAAGACGACCTAGAGAGTCACGTCTATTTATTTATTCATTTATTTATTTATCATAGACTTTATTGCCCCGTGCATCCACACTGCTGCTTTTCATCGCGGACACATTTGTCCCGTATTTTCCTCCACAACTTTGTTCTTCTCGACCGGCAAACCGGCGTTTGCGGCGATCTCCCTCCGTGAATCCAACCCGCTTCTAAACCCGCCAATGACGGCTTGTAGAAGCGCTCATATTTACGCATTTCTTCAGACAAAAGTTCTTCAATCTGATCCGTTCTCTCGTAAACATTCTTCGTTTTAATAACGGCCGTATCGGGCTATGAAAGCGGAAATGTGAGACTCCGTAAAGGACGTAGTTAGCGGACCAATCGCAGCCTGGTGCGCTGCGGAAGGCTTGCGTTGGTTGGAAAAATGGCTCGACACACGCAAGGACGCAAGGAGGTGTGAAAAGGGACGCAAGGGGGGCTTGCGTCTGCGTCGCTCTGAAAACGCAGAAGCACAAACTGGGCTTGAAACGAGTGCGTTGACACAACGACGCAGACGCAGAAGCATGCGCCAGCCTTAAGGGCAAAATAAAAACACAGGTGTTCCTTAAAATAATTAAAATATAGATATGAGCATGAAATACAGCACATATATAAAAAGTAAAAAAATGTCCTTAAAAGGTGAGGGAATAGGAAATAGAAAAGTTATAAAAATGAATACTAAGCTAATATGATTTACCTTAAAAAATACACAGAAAATATTTAAATTTGTTAGTACGGAGTGAAATATTTAATTACAGATAACTTGTTATTTTACATTCATCATTTGTATGTGATTTTCGGTAAAATAAGGATTTTTTACAGTGTACACAGAACCCTACATAGAACTATTTACATAACCGGAGATAGAACCCTATATAAAACCCGCCCCAATAATAGGAGGCAGGCAGGAGTGAGTTTGTCTCTAATTGAATTTGTGTTTCAGTCCAAGTCAGCAGGGGTGACCAGAGCTGCCAGGTTAATGTCAGCCAAGAGTACAGGTACAACACCTCACCATTTCAACGAGCAACACTGCTTCAAGCAGTCCGACCCACTTTACCTGTCTGTCTCCCTACGTGTCTACGTCTGCCCGCTTGTTTGTCTACCTGTCTGTCTGTCAGAGTCAGTAGATGGAAGCAGTCCAGGAACCTGTTCCCCCACCAGTCGAGTCACAGCTTCAAACAGAGACGTCAAGAAGGTACATCTACTTCTCTGTCTGACCACCTGTCTCTGTGACAACCTGTCACTCGAACAACATGTCTCACTGACTCTCTGGGTACCTATCTGTTAATTAGTGACTGACTGCCCTGTTGGCCGGTTATTTTTTGGGTCTATCATCTGCCCCACCCTCAACACCGGTGTGCGAGAATATTGTCTTTTTTTGGGTACAACAAGGTACGTCTGTTATTTGATTTTAAGTTAAGTTGTATCAGGAATCAGGAAACATTTATTGACAAAATATGTCAAACATACAAGGAATTTGTCTTGGCCGTTGGTGCGTGACAGTAGACAGTGTAACAATAGACAACAAGACAGCAGTGCACAAGTAATAAAATAAAGTAAAATGAAATGCTAATGCAATGGGTTAATAGAATAAGGCTATAGGTTAGTATAAAACAAGAGAATAAAGTTAAAGTTAAAAATTTAAAATATTAAAAAAGTTAAAAAACATTAAGCATAAAGTGCACTAGCGAACAAGTGACAAAGTGACGAGTGACAACAAAGTGACGAGTGACGACAAAGTGAAAAATGACAGTTAAAGTGGCATGTGCAGTATGAGGGGGAGTGACCGGTGGAGTGTTATAGTCGGTCAGTGGGGGACCGGGCTCTGTTGATGAGCCCGACTGCCGACGGGAAGAAACTGTTGGTGTGGCGGGAGGTCTTAGTCCTGATGGACCTCAGCCTCCTGCCAGATGGAAGGGGCACAAACAGGTTTTGTCCGGGGTGAGAGGGGTCGGCCACCATCTTTTTAGCTCGCTTCAGAGACCTGGAAGCGAACAAGTCCTCCAGGGACGGCAGATTGCAGCCGATCAGCCTCTCTGCAGAGCGGAGGACCCGCTGCAGCCTGCCCTTGTCCTTGGCTGTGGCTGCAGCGTACCAGACGGTGATGGAGGAGCAGAGGATGGACTCCATGATGGCCGTGTAGAAGTGGACCATCATCGTCTTTGGCAGGTTGTATTTCTTCAGCTGCCTCAGGAAGAACAACCTCTGCTGAGCCTTCTTGGTGATGGAGCTGATGTTCAGCTCCCACTTGAGGTCCTGGGCGATGATGGAGCCCAGGAAATGGAAGGAATCCACAATAGTGACGGAGGAGTCACACAGGGTAATGGGGGAAGGTGGGGCTCTGTTCCTCCGGAAATCCACAACCATCTCCACTGTCTTTAGAGCGTCAAGCTCCAGGTTGTTCTGGCTGCACCACGACACCAGATGGTCAGACTCCCACCTGTAGGCGGACTCATCCTCACCAGAGATCAGTCCAATGAGGGTGGTGTCATCCGCAAACTTCAGGAGCTTGATGGACTGGTGGCTGGAGGTGCAGCTGTTGGTCTACAGGGAGAAGAGCAGAGGGGAAAGAACGCAGCCTTGGGGGGAACCGGTGCTGATGGTCCGAGAGGCTGAGACATGTTTCCCCAGCTTCACGTGCTGCTTCCTGTCAGACAGGAAGTCTGTGATCCACTTGCAGGTGGAGTCGGGCACGTGCAGCTGGGAGAGTTTGTCCTGCAGCAGAGACGGGATGATGGTGTTGAAAGCAGAGCTGAAGTCCACAAACAGGATCCTGGCGTAGGTTCCTGGGGAGTCCAGATGCTGGAGGATGTAGTGGAGGGCCATGTTGACCTGTGATCCTGGGCTTCTTGGGAACAGGGATGATGGTGGCGGCCTTGAAGCAGGCTGGTACGTGGCATGTCTCCAGGGAGGTGTTGAACTGGGGCAGTTTGGTGGAGCTGTGGGGGATGGGATCAGGACATTGTCTTTCCAATCTGCAGTAGAACTCATTGAGCTCATCTGCAGGCGGAGGTCATTCATGGAGTGGGGGGTTTTTGGCTTGTAGTTAGTGAGGTGTTTGAGGCCTCTCCAAACCGAAGCAGAGTCACTTGCTGAGAACTGTTGTTGGAGTTTCTCAGAGTACAGTCGTTTAGCATATCTCACCGCCTTGCTAAACTTGTATTTTGACTCTGTGTACAAGTCTTTGTCCCCACTCCTAAATGCCTGATCCTTCTGCAGGCGTAGTGTTCTGAGTTCCGCTGTGAACCAGGGTTTGTCGTTGTTGTAGCTCACCCTGGTGCATGATGGTACACAGCTGTTCTCACAGAAGCCGATGTAGGAAGTTACAGCCTCTGTGAACTCATCCAGACTGTCAGTAGCAGTCCTGAAAACATCCCAGTCTGTGCAGTCAAAGCACGCCGGAAGATCCGCCAGCGCCTCACTGGTCCACTTCTTGAATTCCCTCACCACAGGTTTGCAGAGCTTTAGTTTCTGCCTGTATGCAGGAATCAGATGGACCATGACGTGTGCCTCGTGCACGTTGCCCGCCGGCGGCATGTAAACACCGACCAGGATGAATGAAGCGAACTCACGGGGGGGAATAAAAAGGTTTGCAGTTGATGAAGAAAGTTTCCAAATCAGGAGAATAGTGTTTTAGGATCACCGTTACGTCGTTGCACCAGCTGTTGTTGAAGTAGAAGCAGCTGGCTCCGGGAATCGCAGCAGGAAACATAATTAACAACAAAAACAGCAAAAAATGAAGCGCACCGAAGCACCGTGGCAGCCATCATCGGCGCCATCTTGGAAACTAGGTGGTACTAGTAAATAAAAGTATTGCTTCTACCAAAAAGCTCTGATATATGATATTGTGTGTGATGTAGGAACTAGAAGTAGTAAACTGGTTTGGGAGTCCTGCAGGTGGCGGTGGTCCGAACCCCCTCCAGGTCTCCTGTCTCTGCTCGGGGCCGGGCGTACCCCCTCCCGTCTCACCCCATGCCGGACATCAGTAACGTAAAGTCAAAGATTGGATCCACAGAGAACATCAAACACACTCCTGGGGGGGGCAAGGTAACACTCACAAATACATATACAACTACATGTCTATAATGGTTTTACGGATACGTCTATCTGTCCGTCTGTCTCTGTAGGTTCAGATCCCTCATAAGAAGTAGAATCTTACTAGCATTGCATCAAAGTGCGGCTCCAAAGACAACCTCTACCACAAACCAGGTAAAACATACACACACACTCACACATCCATATATATATATATAGCCAATCGCAGGGCTAACACAGAGACATACAACCAATCACACTCACATTCACACACCTACGGGCAATTTAGAGTCCCCAATCAACCTGATCCCCAGTGCATGTCTTTGTCCACTGGCCTTTTTGTGTGGAGTCTGCATGTTCTCTCCGTGTCTGTGTGGGTTCTCTCTGGGTACTCTGGCTTCCTCCCACAGTCCAAAGACAAGGCATCATAATATAATATGTAAAATGTAATATGTATAATATGTTTGTATAATTTATACAAACATATGTGTGTATATATAGCTTTGTCTGAGAGAAATAAAATATAATTCATCCATTATGGCAAATATTTTCGACGGACTACACAACAAGTTGTACACCACCATACGCACCATCTTTTGATACATTTGCATAGTATTTTTATTTTAATAATATTTCCATAGATAAAGTTGTGTTGTGGAGTATTTTCATTTGGATTGCTGATTATCGTAGCCAGGCTGAATCAAATGCTATAGATTGTTCATGTGCCAGTTATTACTGATACATCTGTAGTTACACTCTTATGGAAGGTTGCACTCTATAGTATGTGTTGATATATCTTTATTGGATTGTGTGTTTTATATTCATATATATTGTACTTTGTGTATATGTACACCTGTGTGTTGTGTCAGGAGGAGGGAAGGTGGAGATTAAATCAGAGAAGGTCGATTTTAAAACTGTTCAGTCTAAAGTGGGTTCTCTGGAGAACATCACTTATATGCCAGGAGGAGGGAAAAATAAGGTACATGCTAACAACATGCTAACAATTCAACAACAACATGCTAAAAGCCTTTTAATACCATGCTAACAGCATGCTAACACATGTCATCAAAACACCAACTGCTGGCTAAAAGCCTGCTAACAGCATGCTAATTCCCTGCTAACTAATGTATGTTTTTTACATTTTTCTTATGCACAGAAGTATCTCTCATCCGTGTATGATACGAATATCCGTTGTTATGGTAACATTTCCACACTACACTATATTTACACTAAATGTCCGACTCAACTCTGTGAATTGGTATTGATGGCATGTTGACAGATTGAGAGTAAGAAACTGAACTTCAGAGAGGGCGCCAAAGCTCGAACCGACCACGGCGCTGACATCATCATCCAGCCCGGCAATGCTTTCGCCCCCCAAAGCCTTCACGCCGCTGAAGCTCCGCCTCTGGTTGATGAGGTGAACTATTTACCTGTTTACAACAAAAGACCTTGACAAACTCACACATTAGGGAACACCCTCTTCTTCCGGGGGGGGGTCCCCTCTCCCCAACAAAAAAAGGCCTGGGATGGAGGGGCCCTGGGCTTTAAAACTTGCCCCCCCCCCCCCCCCCCCCCCCCAGTTACCAAGGGAACTGCCCGAAAAAAGAAAGAAAGAATCATAGTTATTTCCTTTTCCCCCCATGACCTCCATCAGACAGCATCAGGACATTGTGATTATGGGGATTTTATTAGTGAGGATTGGTGCTAAATGTGTCACTGATCCTATATGAGGAGCCTCTGACAAGGCTGACGATGATGATCAAAAACGTTTTTCTTAGTGTTCCTATAGGGAGTTTTTATTAATTCTGTGTTGTTTAGGGATTTCCATGATTAACACATTCACACATACTCACTGATATAGGTTTTTAACATCTGGATTAGTTATTTTTCATTAAATAAATTATGTAAAAAGGGGGCATTGATAATCCAAAACGTTCTTCTTTGTGCTCATTTAGGGAGTCAATATCTTATCCTGGTTGATGAGTGCAAGTTCAGAGGGAAAAGCAGAAAGTGCCAACCAGGAAGACACAGGTCTGATAAGAATGAGAGTTAGAGACACACCAGGCAGCATACAACACTCAAGCTTTGTTCCTTATGTTTACATTAATGTCAGGAGACCACACATTGCATGTGATTGGATCTTTTATTACAGAGTGAGGACCTGCTCCTCCTAAACGCCAGTTTAGGGCCAATAGAAATCTTTTCTTCTATATCTAACAACAAGTACAACTGAAGTACAACACACGCTGATACTTGAGACCTGTGATCTGACAAATAAATCTACCAGAACGAGAGAAGTTGTTCGGCTGAATTCTTCCAGATACCGCCAACAGAGCTTCCAATTTTGATCACGGTTCTTTCAACAAGCCCAGACAGACCAAACATTGGTCTAGTGGATTAGTGGATTAACCCAGATAAAGAGATTATTAAGAAACAAATAAAAAGAATGCAGAAACAACCATGTAATTATACCAATTTGTAAAAGGTCTCTTTGGATAAAAGTGTCAGCTAAATGACCTGTAATGTAATAATGCAATATTTGTGTAGCCCATAGATATACATAAAGGCCAGATGTCTTACGGCTTATAACAAACCAAACCGTTTGAAAATGGAGCTAAGTTATTATTATTTAAAGTACATGTACCGCTACCAACACAATGGTATGGGTGAGCGAGCTGACCATACCAAGATTGCCGCCATGTGCGGACGTTCTAGCCTTTATATATATCTATGTTGTAACCGCCTAATGTGTGCTGCATCTTTCATCGTCAATTATAGGATTTTTGGTTGACCTAGTGTAAATAAGCTGTGCCATAAGTTTGCTTGCTTTCTACCAGCTCTGACTGGGGGATCCCAAGGCGTTCCCAGGCCAGTGCAGAGATATAATCTCTCCACCTAGTCCTGGGTCTTCCCCAGGGCCTCTTCCCAGCTGGCTGTGCCTGGAACACCTCCCTAGGGAGGCGCCCAGGGGGCATCCTCACCAGATGCCCAAACCCCCTCAACTGGCTCCTTTCGACGCAAAGGAGCTCCTCACGAATGGCTGAGCTTCTCACCCTATCTCTAAGGCCAGCCACTCTCCTGAGGAAACCCATTTTCTTCCAGATATCGCCAACAGGGCGTCCAATTTTGATCACGGTTCTTACAAGGTTTGGATGGCCCCAAGCAAGGACCTCCTCACCCCGTACTCCCGCAGCACCTCCCACAGTTTCTCTCGAGGGACCCGGTCATACGCCTTCTCCCACAAAACACATTTAGACTGGATGAGCATACTCCCAAGCCCCCTCCATGATCCTGGAGTAAAGAGTAAAGCATAAAGAGCTGGTCTGTCGTTCCACGACCAGGACGAAAACCGCATTGTTCCTCTTCAATCCTTGGTTCGACTATCGGCCGAACCCTCCTTTCCAGCACCTTGGAGTAGACTTTACCCGGGAGGCTGAGTAGTGTGATACCCCTGTAATTGGCACACACTCTCTGGTCCCCCCTTTTGAAGAGGGGTACCACCACCCCGGTCTGCCACTCTTTTGGCACTGTCCCAGACTTCCACGCAATGTTGAAGAGGTGTGTCATCCAAGACCCCCAACACCCATTGCTTTTAGCATCTGTGGACGGATCTCATCAATCCCCGGGGCTTTGCCACTGTGGAGTTGTTTGACTACCTCAGTGACCTCCACCAGGCAAATTGACAATGATCCCTCCTCCGCCTCTACCAAAGAGGGCGTAGTAGTTGGATTCAGAAGTTCCTCAAAGTGTTCCTTCTACCGCCCGATAACCTCCTCAGTCGCGGTCAACAGAGTCCCCATCCATACTGTACACAGCTTGGATAGTTCCCCCGTTTCCCCCCTCCTAAAGCGCCAGATGGTCTTCCAGAAGCACTTTGGTGCCAACCGAAAGTCCTTCTCCAAAGTTACCCCAAACCCCTCCCATACTCGCTGCTTTGCCTCCCATCACGAGCAGAGGCTGCTGCCCTTCAAGCCTCCGAGAGTCCCACCAGATATCATAACCCGAGAGCTTCCTTCTTCAGTCAGGACAGGCTTCCCTGACCACCAGTGTCCACCACGAAGTTCGAGGGTTACGCCCCTGATGGACCTTGAGGCCACAACTCACTGCCGCGACTTCAGCAATGGAGGTTTTAAACATCTGGTTCAATGTCCCCTACCTCCACAGGAATGTGAGAGAAGCTCCGCCGGAGGTGTGAGTTGAAAATCTTTTGGACCGGGGCCTCCTCCAGACGTTCCCAGTTCACCCTCACTACACGCTTATGTTTACCGTGTATGTCCCGACTCGCTTCCCCCATCCTCTGACCCTGCTCACCACCAGATGGTTATCAGTTGACAGCTTTGCCCCTCTCTTTACCCGAGTGTCCAGAACATGCTGCCTCAGATCAGACGATACGATTACAAAATTGATCACTGATCTTTGGCCTAGGGTGTTCTGGTACCACGTACACTTATGAACATCCATATGTTCGAACATGGTGTTTGTTATGGACAATCCGTGACAAAGAACCGCTCGGGTTCAGATCAGGGAGGCCATTCCTCCCAATCACGCCTCCAGGTATCTCCATCGTCGCCCAAGTGCACATTGAAGTCTCCGAGTAGGACTATGGAGTCCCCTACTGGAGCCCCATGCAGGACTCCATGCAGGGTCTCCAAAAACTCAAAGTGACCACTCCGGAGTAGAATAGAGTCCATCCCCTATACAGGAGTGTGGTTCCAGAGCCTCGCCTGAGACCACTTTGCCAAGGGTAACCCTACCAGGAGCACAAAGCTCCCGACAACACAGCCCTCAGGGTCATATGGACACACAAACCTCTTCACCACGATAAGGTGATGGTTCCCCAGAGAGGCCACCCTATATAAAGAGTATATATATACATATATTTGTCATACGGGCTTATTGGTTAAACATGCCATGGCACTTTGACGTCATGGATCTGCCCTCTCGCTTAACATAGTTCTCCACAAGTTCTCCTTGTGAGAAGATGCTTCAGTGTTTTTTGACCGGATACCTTCAAGTTATATAATAGCATAATTTTTTGTTACGGGGAAATCGTTAATCTCAACACAGTCCGTGTTAAGCATAAGAGGGTGACTGCGGCGCATGAAGTAGAGAGGGTGTTGGCGGTTCGATGTCCCATGTCAAAGTGTCCCTGAGTGACCCAACTGCTAATTGCTCCCTGGGTGCCCTTACGACAGCACACAGGTACCACTGTGTGGGATGGGTTAAATGCAATGACAGTTGCTTTGGATAAGCTCAGCTAAATGGCGTGTTATGTAATAAATCACTTCTAAACATTAGGCTCAATACGGCTTTGATACTATTACATAATGTGATAAAGCTGTCTTTATAGTTTCTAAGTATAATTTTACCCATTATTTTTTATGAGCAAACTAGATCATAAAGCAGCAATTACACTTCATTACTCAACAGCTCAGTCTGGATGCTGATTGGCTGCTGACGTTGTATAACAAGTTGGTAATGTGTTCTTATTATTATTGTTGTCATGACCATGATTTGATGACGTGTAATATAGTGAAATAATAAATGACAATTCTTCGCAATGTTAATTAATTAATTATTGAAAGATTAATGAAGATAAACACATTGACTTTTGTATAGAATTCATTAACTTTGTGCTGCACTCTGTTGGCACTGTGATGTCACTGCTGGCACTGTGATTTCGGGGTTTTGTGATTTTGGGGGGTCTTCGGCTTGAGGGGCTTTTCGTGCTTTGGACCAGTCACAGATTTCTCTGAGATAAATAAATGTTTCAAGCTCCTTCTGTCAGGATAACAGATTTAACTTCCTATCCAGTTCTGATTGTGTTTCCCTGATTTATAACTTCACCCACTAACCAATCAGTGAGAACACCAGGACACATTTATATCTAATATCTAAGAGTGTCCCTTGAATCTTTTGCAGCTGATTTCATAACAGAATGAATGAAGCTGTATTTTTTTTATTTATTTGCGTGGTATTGATTATAATAATTTGTACTTCTTTCAGTGAGTCAGCGTTAATTAAACTTGATGACTTAAAGCTTCAGACTTAATGTGACTCACTCATGTTTGTCTGAATGCGTGAAAGTGGCACATTCAGCTGGTTTCACCCTTTTATAGTGCTGTCAAATTTAACGTGTTAATGTAGGAGATTATTCTGGCCGAGATTAATGCAGTAAAATATTTTAACGAAGTTAACACAACTTTTTGCATTGGGAGTAAAACAAACAAAAAAACTGTGCAGAGGAATTCCTCCACCTGTTAAACAGAAGGGGGTGATTGTCAAACGGACCACGGACATGTTCCTAGCTGTTAGGCCAAACTGGCTGCCAGGCTACTTTCATCTCAACATCTATCCTGCAGAGGACCACCACTGTGTCCCTAAAACAGACAGTGGTTTTAAAAGATCCTGGTTAAATATGGGGAGCTTGTTGGAACTTCAAACACAGCCATCAAATTATTGATGATTAGTTAA